GACCATTTCGAAGGCCATCTACAATCAAAATGTACTGCATTCATTTTTTCAATCATAATTGAGTTACAAATAGCAACCATAGATGTCCTACAATACATAGAGAAATTGAAAAAAGAAGTCACTGTATATTCTTTTCATCTGCATATAGTCTTGCAACCAACCTCAAGCATCTAGATTGACTTGCAGCCAATGTGCAAAATATCATAGTGGAAAATATCTCAACCTTGAAAGAATCTGAAGATAATTTATCACTGGGAAGTTAAGGACTGCAACTTCTTTTCATGAAATTTGGCCCTCCGAAGAGCATCCAGGGCCTCGGCTTGCTTTCCAGAACGTTTTAAGCTCACTGCCTTCACCTTCTCTGCCGTGATCCTTTCAACTAACTGCACTCTCCCTCTCTTCATTGGCATTGCCAATTTTGATGTCACAGATTTATTTGACTCAGGTCTTTCAATGCTTTGGGGCTTAGTTCTGGTGTGTTCCATTCCAATTGAATTCAAAGCAGGCAGAAGTTGTGGGTCGAGAAAATCCTCAACACTAACATCATCCACCGATTCAGCATTTTCAGAAGTCCCTGTTTTATTATGTGCATCCAACTCCTGCAATTGGGATTCAAGAGCTTTTGCCAGTTCAAATTCAGCATCAGCTTCTTCCGTTCTACCTTCCCTTCGTAGCTTAAGGGCTTGACGTTTGTGACTAAGCGACTCCTGCTGCAGTTTAAACCGATCACGGCCAGACAATGGCTTGGAGACTGACTTTGGACTGGCCTCTTTCCTTTCTACAGAAGAGACATCAGAGGCTGATGTATCACTAGAGCTAGTGTTTGGATGAGATCTATCCTCCTCCATGCGCTTTTCTAAGAGCTTTGCCCTTCGAAGCTCCTCCTTCGCTTCCACTAATTTCCCCTCTCTCTTCAAGGTTACAGCCTTCCACTTATGTGCCATGATATCTTGTTCAAAGGAACTTGACTCAAGTTGAGACATAGTTGCTTGAGTAGAGTTTGGCTCACGAATATGTGGCTGCATGGATTCACGAACTTCTGGTTTCTCCGCTGTGATCTTATTTTTGCTTCCTAAATCTTCGACGAGGCTATTGAGGCCATCCATCTGAAGAGAAAGGGCCATCCATCTGAAGAGAAAGGGCATTTTGTGAAGCATCCATGGAAGAATGTCCTCCACTATTTTCAGTCAAAACTTCTTTTTGTATTGGTACTTCAAACTCTTGCAACTGCACCTCCAACAATCTGACCAGTTTTAGCACTTCATCTGCCTCATCAACCTCTCCTCGGCGTCTCAGGGCATGAGCTTTTCCTTTTAACCCTAAAAGTTCTCTCTGAATATCACTCTTACTTTTTCTAGATGTCCCAGTCTCAAAGTTGGCATTGGCCTGTGTGACAGAGGAGACTGATGAGTGACCAGGGTATTTAGAAGCACTTTTATTTTCTTTGGAAGAAGTGGTTGGAACGTTTTCATTATTTTCCTCCTCCCACCCTAAGTTCTTCAAAAGTGAAAGATAAGTAGGATCATTCATGTCGTGATCTTTGACATCTGTCACTTCTGCTTCATTTCCGAGATC